ATATTATTACACACATTATCATCCAGCAGACAATTTTCCATTTTTGTGTCCATTAAATGTTTTGCTTTTTCTATGGGGACCAGCAGATGGCATAATGGCTACATTCCTGGACTCCCATGTAGTTGACCACAGTTCGAATCCTGGACCCGGTGGCTTAAACACACACCGGGTGCATGTGTGTGTGTGCCCAAGATCCTGAGAGGAGAATGGAAGAGGAGGGATTGCAGCGTGCCCCCCCCCCAGCCCGGGTGATTTCTTGCTTTCTGTCTCTCTGTCTCTGTCTTTCCAGTGAGTACATGTGCCCTATAGGAAAAAAAAAAAAGCATCAGAATAGAGCTATGAACCTTAAAATAGCCATGGTTGAAGATCTGATTTTACCATAACCCAACATTGGTAAATTTGATCATTTCTGTGACAAACTACATTGGAACTATTTAGCTTTACAAGTATGACTAATAACATACTATTACAAAACAGATATTTAAGAATCTTACACAATTTTGGAACACCCAAATTTGTGTATAGATTCCTATACATTGAGAGCTAAGCACCATTTCATATTTGATAATGTTTTCCATATAATTTCCCTGACAATTAGTGTGTTATAGTCTATCTCTCCTTTTAGATCTAGCCGTCTTTCTTTCATGTATTTAGATGCTCCTTTGTTGGGTGCATAGATATTTAGAATTATTACGTCTTCTTGATGAATTAGCCCTTTTACTACTATACAATGTCCTTCTTTGTTTCTTCTTGCAGTTTTTGTCTTAAAGCCTATTTTATCTGAAATCAGTATTGCAACTTCAGTCCTTTTTTGGTTTCTATTTGCATGGAATACCTTTTTCCAGTCCTTCACTTTTAATCTATATATACCTTTTTTTCTATGAAGTGTGTTTCCTGTAGGTAACAGATAGAGGTGTTTGTTTTTTAAATCCCTTCAGCCAGTCTGTATCTCTTGATTGAAGAATTTAATCCATTAACATTTATGATATTATTGATATTTCTGGACTTGTCTCTGCCATTATGTTAGCCATTTTCTTTTCTTTCTTTTTTTATCTGTTTCCATCTCTCTCTCTTTAGTTTTCCTGGTATAGATCTCCCTCCAGAACTTCTTGAAGAGCTGGTCTGGTGTTGGTAAATTCTTTCAGGTTTTGTTTATCTGAAAATATTTTAATCTTCTCTTCTCATTTGAAGGTTAATCTTGCTGGGTATAGTTATATTGGTTGAAATTGTTTTTCTTTCAACACTGTGAATATGTCTTCTCATCCCTTCCTTGCTTGCATTGTTTCCACTGAGAGGTCCAATGTTAGCCTGATGGGATAACTTTTATATGTAACTTGACGTTTCTCTCTTGCCATTTTCAGTATTTTGTATTTATCCGTGATTTTGATCATTCTGGCTATGATGTACCATGGAGAAGATCTCCTTGTGTTGATTCTGTTTGGGGTCCTTTGTATTTCTTGGGTTTGGACGTTTGATCGCTTCTCTAGTTTGGTAAGTTTTTTGCAAGTATTTCATGGAATAGACCTTCTATGCCCTTGTCCAATTCTTCACTTTCTAGAATTCCTATTATTTGAATATTTGGGCATTTCATAGCATCTAATATTACTTGTATGTTGTCCTCATTTTTAAAAATTATTTTTCATTATTTTTGGTGGTTTTATCTAAGTCAAAGCTCTGTCTTCTAGATCAGAGATTCTGTCTTCTTTGTGGTCCAATCTACTGTTAATACTTTTGAGGGAGGTCTTGGTTTCCTGTATGACTCTCTTCATCTCTAGAAGTTCTGACTGATTTAAAAAAAATTTTTTATGGTGTCCATCTCTTCTTTTAAATCCTGGAAAGACTTCTTCATCTCTGTCATCATGAATATTATGAACTCTATTTCTGACATTCCTTTAAATTCCTTTGTGCTATCCATGGTTGAAGAAGAGATGCTCTGTTCCATTGAGGAAGAGGTATTTGTTTCCCCATACTTTTTGTGGCTCTGCACTGGTTTCTAGTCATTTGGTGGATTATACACTACAACCTGCTTTTCTGTTGTCGATTTTAGAGTCGATTTTAGAGTGTCTAGAGGAAGAAGAGCCCTACTTTTTTGATGTGTTCCTGGTAGAGGGCCTTGGCTTCTAGTCAAAGTGTGTATATAGTCACCTTTGGGTGTTGCTTCCTTTCTCAGTCTCCCGAGATCAGGTGCACCTGGGGCTAACCTGCAGATTTTCAGATTGAAGAGGGAAAAGGAGTTGCTGCTCAGTTCAGAAAACTGTGAAACCTCACAATATTCCTGGGACAAGTTGGGAGGCAGTAAGAAACCTTAAGCGTTCCCCTGTGTTAGTTTCCGCCACCAACCACCCATTCACGCTGATTTGTAGTAGCACAGACCTGGGAAAAGGGGCGGCGGATGTACTCCAGAGGAGCCTGGAGGCAGGAAGAAGCCTAGAGCAATCCTCTGTGTTGTCTCCCCCTACCAACTGCCAGGTCGGGAAGAACCCTTGCACTCCCCTGCATCAGCCTACCCCACCAAAGGCGGACCTTCCCTGGTCTGCAGCAGCACAGGCTCC